AATAAGTGAGTAATCTAATCCTCTTTCCTTCATTGAATTTATCTTTGTCTCTTTTTATGCATTATTAATGTGAAATCAGACTCGAAGTCACAACAAGGCCTTTAAACACAGTGGAGCACAGTGATGTTTTACTCTCAGCAATGCAGAATTGGTGTACATGACAGAATAATGATTCACAGCTTTGGGAAAAACTGTTAGTGGAAACAGCACAGTGAGTCTCATAATAGCTCAACAACAACAGAGTCAAATAGGAGTCCACACAGAGTCCAGTAACCCCTCCTTGAAACAGCAGCAGCACTGGCTTAACAAAGCCTTGAAATCTGAGCCTTGTTAACTGATTCCTCAGGTCCAATATAGAGTTACAGCCACAGACAGACTTGTGTGTGTTCATGAGCACTTGTATATCAACATGCAATTTAAAACCAATACAAATACACAGTCAACAGTGCATTTACGATTTAAAGCCAACTTGTTAAAAGGTTACACATTAACAGAACCTTTAACTGGGCTTCCCATGCACAGAGATCACTGAAAGAGTGCTTTTTCCTTTGTTTCAGAAACGGGGCAAATGGAAACACAATAACAGGTTTCTGATGGCTCTAATTACATGTTAGCATCTGGTTCTTTAGTTTGTTTTATCAGCACAGAGCGACCCTCTGCTTTTATTGAGCCTTGGGCACTTTTCTGTGGAAGTGGGAAAATAATAAGTATTCAGGCACCAGCTGGCTATCTGGCAGTGTTGTCAAAGACCTTGACATTTTGAATACTGCATAACAAACACGTTATGCTTGCTCTCCACTAAAACCAGTCACATAGAGAGAAACAGAAAAATAAGTATATATAATATTTTAGCCGGTTCTACTTATATACATGCAAATGTTTCTTCTATTTTGGCCATTTTACATCAAAAGACAAAATATTTTAGGCAGCCATAAAAAGAATTGATGATTCATTATAACCGAAAAGCTGGAGCTCAAAGCAAATGGGTGTCCATAAAGGAAGCAACTACCAGCAACCACAGAAAGTCAATGAGATTGAGCAACTTCAAGAAAAGATGGAAAAAATAACCACTGACCATATGAAGTTAAAATATACAGACCGTTTTCATCTTTGAGGTGAGCAACTGCAGCTTGGAACGTCTGATAGCGACCAAACATCGCTGCCTGTCAGGGATAATACATGTAGCATGCTTACATCCCCAAAGGAGCATATTATCAACTAGAGCTGGGCGATATAAGATTTTTTCATATCACGATATGTTTTTTTCATTTCAGGCGATAACGATATATATCACGATATAAGCCAAATAACTATATTTGTAAGATTTAAATGTGCCGTTGCTCACAAGCAAAATGTGAAATAATCAACAGCTTGTTTTGATTTAAATATTTATTTCCCATAATAAGTTCAACAGGGTAGATGTACTTAAGGAACATGAGACTTTTTCAGATAAATAAAGGCAAATATTGCAAACTACACAAAAGGCAGCCGCTAAAGCATTTAAGTTTCAAAATAGAGCAAACAAAACAGACTACTAAATTGTCAATTCCACTTAGAAACAAAATATTAATTCTAAAAATAAATCTTAGTTTGTTTTACAGAAGAACAGACAAAATTGACTAACTTTTGTCAATATCAAATAAACTGAGAACTAAAAGGAAATTCTCAATCTCTCCTTGTTGTATAGCTTAGCTTTTCAAACAGTTTTAACAGTTACTTTAGTCTGACAAAAGCCGAATGACGAATTAGCGCTTCCAGTCAGAGATTGAGCATGCACCGGTTTATTGTATTTCCAGACTTGCTTTCGACACAATTTACAGTGCGTGCTACTCTGTTTTTGTCAGACTTGAAATAGCCGAAATACCTTCACACTACGCGACTTCTTTGGCTCTTCCGTTCGACAATCTCTCCGGCATTGGAACCATCATCGGGTTTTTTTTTCACGCTCTCGGTTAATTTTTCTCTAGTCGGCACACTCATTTCCTCCATTACCCGGGCGGCACGGCGGCTGGCTGCTTCCCAAACAAATACACATGTGCGGTTTGGCACTTGTGCTGTACGTAACAAGTCATGTGACGTGACGCTGCAGCTGTGATTGGTTCGGCTCTGCGCTACTTAATTTGGATTGGCTGGTTTTTTTTTTTGGTTTTTTTTAAGAGGACAAGAGAGATGAGGTCTATCGCAATGGTTTAATTTTTCTATCGAAAAAAAGTTATTTCGCAATACATATCGTTATCGTTCTATCGCCCAGCTCTATTATCAACTACTTGAGCTATCTTTCTTCCTGAAGTCCACTGTATTGTAATAACATGCTCCTACTATAGTGACCATGCAAATAAAATTCCCCTTGTCATGTAAAACCCAAACCAGTTTGAATAAACGAATAAATAGCTCAAGTCAAGTCAAACATTTGCTGGGCCATGTACTATACTTCTAAGAGCTGCTGAAGCCAAACAGAGGGGCCTCTTCAATTTCTGCAAGTGGTATTTTTAAATATAGCAGCTGAACCTGCATGTCATTTTTCAGCTTAGTACTCCTATTGTTCGAGAATACAGCAGCTTGTATGCATGATCTTAGTGTTTTGAACTTGCTTATGATGAGAGCCATTATGAACCAACTACTGACGAAGGCTTCTTTATCAGTCTTAAGAAGTAGTTATGATGTTACTGTAATTGGCCTTTACCTCATGGTACAACATTAAGGCTCTGCTTAAAACTGAATCTAAGCTATCTGTCTGACCTTTGAACAACAGATGCACACTGTGCAGAAACACCAATTCAAAACTGCACTTTCTGAATTGAACTGATCACATTTTGGGTCAGAGCTGGACCCTGGATCATTGAGCCAATGCCTACTTGTATTAGCGTCAGTTAACTTATGAATATAATACCAATGGTTTGTGCATCAGACAGCTGGCTGTACAGTTTGACTGGGGCTGTGATGGCAGCACCTTCTGCAGTCACATAAACCGCTCCTGATGGTCTATGCCAAGGCCAGATCAACCCCATTCATAGCACACATGCGGAAGGCTGGTTTTCAAGGACAGTGACCAACTGGAGTAGGATGTTGATACCTTATCAGCTTTATCAAACTCCAGACTAAAAATGTAATTATTCATAAGTTAACTGACGCTAATACAAGTAGGCATTCGTGGCTCAAGAGTTGGGAGTTCGCCTTGTAATCGGAAGGTTGCCGGTTCGAGCCCCGGCTTGGACAGTCTCGGTCGTTGTGTCCTTGGGCAAGACACTTCACCCGTTGCCTACTGGTGGTGGTCAGAGGGCCCGGTGGCGCCAGTGTCCGGCAGCCTCGCCTCTGTCAGTGCGCCCCAGGGTGGCTGTGGCTACAATGTAGCTTGCCATCACCAGTGTGTGAATGTGTGTGTGAATGGGTGGATGACTGGATATGTAAAGCGCTTTGGGGTCCGTAGGGACTAGTAAAGCGCTATATAAATACAGGCCATTTACCATTTACCATTTTACTTTTCATGGTTATTTTCCTGTTGGAGTCTTCATAATTTTATTTGATGGTTTTTCTGCATGGTCACCACAAACAGAAGATCAGCTGCTCTGGGAAGAAAAATCCTTTGTTCTACTGAAGTACGCAAGGCCATGTTCTCTGTGTCAACCAAGCAAAGCACACACAGAGCTGAACAAATGGGCTACAAACAGACAAAACTCTCCTTGGTTTATAAACAGGACAGAGAAACGTCATGTAAAGGAGAAACGGTTCCTTTTCTGATTAGTTTTCTCTCAAACGAGCAGTGACCTCCACCTCACACTGGGGCGGTTCCCAGCTGAGCAACAGGAATGAAATTTGGCACATCCCAAGTCTGAGAGAACAGTTCTCACCTGGAAAAGAGTTAAAGGCACATACCAGGGAAGGCAGAGGTTCATCTGCAGTGGTGCAGACACTGTACTGGTGTGCTTTGGAAATAAGAGCTGAGTGTACAGCAGAGCTGTAAATTCATTGGTCGGTCTATCTTCTTACCCTCGCCTATGGCCACAGGCTGTAGGCGGGGACTGAAACAATAGGATAGCAGATGGCTGAAAGCTAATATACCTGCTGCAACAGTCGGTCGCTTCGCTCAGCATGGCAACTGTGTTTCATAGACATTTGTTTTATACCTGCTGTTACAGGAGGCTGCTGCAGTATTCTCCTGAACTATAGATATGGCCACTTAGACAATACATCCACATAAGCGTTGAGATAGGAGGAAAAGAAGCCAAAACTGGAAGCCAAGATGTTGTCAAAGGTTTTTTGCAAAGTTTTTTTCCACAAATTGTCAAGTTTTCTGCATCTGTGCATCCCTGATCATGTGCTACAATATCATTAAAATGGCAGTAAAAAACAATACAGCTGTGTCTTCAACCCAGCTCTAGCGACCGCAGCGTGCCAAGTTACAAAAATCGAGAGGTGCATAAGCAGCCGACCGGCATCAAAATTGATGTGCAACACTACAAACACAAACTATGCATCATGCCACATGAGATTAAGCTCAGCCAGTACATTGAAAGAAGCCTGGTTCAGGAATCTTTTCTAGAATGGCGTCAGGATGCCTCCTTGTTTTGGAGTTTTAGGCATGTCCTACCAGGGAGGTGAAGAAATGATTTGGAGAATGGAAAGTATGGTGGGGAAATAGAGATCTGCACATCACTGATTGGACTGCTGTTCGTCTGACCCAGACGCAACTACTGCCCACGTCTCCATCCTTTCTGGCAATTCAATAGGTATGCTCGTGCCACAAGCCACACACAAAATAAAGCCCCTTAAGTTCTGTTGAACCCCTGGTCTCATTACAGATTCTACCTTTTGTATTTTCTTAGGGTCTTTGAGGGGGCTTTCCCGAAGTGGGACTTTCCCAAACAGCTTCCACCCAGGATCCTTCTGCTCCACAGGCTGATTTTCCTTCACTCTCCTGGCAAACAGGCTCCTGAGAGAGGAGAATGACACAGAATTAGAATGGACAATAATTAGCTCATTATAACAGCAACACAAAGATTGTCTATTTGACTTAAAGAACAAGGGGATATAGGTCGCAAGCCATTTAACCTCCTACCTTATGAGGGATATTCAATTAAAATTTAAGGTCTAGTTAGAGAAAATTTCCTCAAACCAAGGTCCAAAATATCAAAGTTCCAAATGCATTATAATTTAATGCAATATATAATAAAGTAGCCCAATTTTTGAATCAGTAGTAGTTTGAAGTTATATAAGAACATTAAATCTACATTTATGGTAATTTCATTTTAATGGAGAAAGAGACAATTCAACCAAAAATCCAGAAAGAAAATATTACATGAAAGTAATAAATAACAAATAGATTTGCATGTCAAAATAAATATTTGATTCCCCCACAGATTGACTATAATCATGGGACATAGCCAATCAATTCCAGATACTACTGATCTTAACTTGTTGTGTGTATAAAGTACACCTTTTCACAGAATCAATTTGCTTTTATTCCAACCTATCCACGACCACATGTAAGACCAAAGATCGATCAAAGAACGTGACAAGACTGCAGATCTGCACAACGCTGGGCTACACAAGGATGAGTTACAAGAACATCAGCAAGAAGCTTGGTGAGAATATGACAACTGTCCGTGCAATTATTCAGAAGAAACTGTCACCCTTGAAGGAATTCTTCCCTCACAGGGTGAGGATGATCACAAAAAAAGATGGTGGATCAGCCTAGAGCTACACTTGTTAATGACGTAAAGGCAAATAGGACCACAGTCACCAAGAACACCACTGTTAACACACTACACATTGAAACCTTGCAGCGTTCCAAGTTCCCCCCTTGGTTATGTGGCCGATCTTACAAACTCGGAAAGAGAACATTTCCCCCACTGTACATCGACTATTGTAGACAAAGGAAAAGGCTGACCATACTAAAATAAGTGTGTGAATGTGTGTGTGTGAATGGGTGGATGACTGGATGTGTAAAGTGCTTTGGGGTCCTTAGGGACTAGTAAAGTGCCATATAAATACAGGCCATTTACCATAAGAACAATAAGATAAATGTGAGAAATGTTGCACTAACGTAAAATAGAAATGGTGCATCAAAATCTAGTAATAGGTCTGGGTTCAGATCCAGATTGTAGTTTGCCTATTCATGACCTAGGCACAATATGGAAGAAAGCATTGGGAAATGGTTGCATTTAGGTGTTTTTTGTCCCACTTCCACAGGTGTATAAAACTCAAGCATTTGTAAAAGAATGGGTCATCTAAAGAGCTTACTGAATTTGAGTATGGTAGTAAAATAGATGCCACTGTTGCAACAAGTCACATTGTGAAATTTCGTAGCGGCAAGTGGTATTATTGCAAAACTAAAGTGTATAAAAACCACATCAACATCATGTAAAGTTACAGAGCAGGGTTGCCATGAGTTCCAAATTTCCCCTCATTATTGCCGCTTTGACTGAAGAATACTACCTTCCTCCAATGAATTTTGTGAATTCCCATTTGAAATGAATTGTATCCAGTCTCCTCTGCACTGCATTGAAAGTGCAGTGGTTCCAACCCATCTGGGGTTTAAATACTACATGCTAAACCGTTGAAAAGCTTTCCTTTGTTCTACAACATTCACTAAGCCATTTAGCCAGCTATTCGGTTTTATTTTTATTCATTTATCACTGCGTTGATGTCACTGAGCTGTTAGAGGTGGCTTTAATTAAAAGCCCGAATAGAGGCAAGCTGTGAAAAGACACATTTAAATTGGTCAAATAAAAAGCCTCTTCTGACGAAGCAGGGCAAGAACAGGCACAACTGAAGGCTGTAACATCAAAGAGCCCACACACTGCTGTTTGTCTAAGGCTGAATTTCATCAAGGGGTTTTCTATAATGATTTTCACACGTCAGCTAAATATTACATTTTCAAGCTTTGGCTCTCAGCAAGTTGTACAGACATGTGGAAAGAGCCAGGAAGGGTCAAATAGGACTAAATGCACAAGTTGTCTCAGTTGAATCAGTGACCCCTGACCTCTTAAGTGCTGCACAGCTTGACCTGTGCCCGTGGGTTGGTCTCGAGAGTAGTGATGACAGGAAACATGCTGCCAAACTCATTCAATGACTGTCACCACATGTGCTACGGGCTTCTGTTTTTGCTTCGGAAATTGCTTCATTCAAGATGTTCTACTGTGCTCAGTAAAAACATAAAGTTCCTGTCATCTGGACAACAAAATTACATTGGCTCTTATCTTGCTTAATAACAGTAGTTATAAAGTTATTATAAAGTGCAATTAATACTAATCAAGAAGCTGCATCATATCAAAAACAAGCAATGCTTTCCTGCTAGTAGTTACTTATGTTCAATTACTAAAATCTTGCAGCTGCTCTAAAATTAGTTTGTAATTTTCATTTTTTTATGATTTGGTAATATTTCAGTTTTCTAGTTACAGTAAAACAGCCCAAGTTGCAAATATGACCTATATTCCACAAGAAAACTAACATACACAGAGACCAAACTACTATAATAAAGCTCACCACCTCTGAGCAGCTAACTCAGCTGAACTTCCCTTGTTCTAACCAAGTCAGATCTCTTCAGGAGCTTCTAATTATCTAAAGAAGCCAATTAAAAAGCTCTATTTTAAATTCAGAAAAGAAATAAATCCGTGAGCTATGAGCCCTAAAATGCAGAGGCCTGAACAACTTATTCAGCAATATTAGCTGAGAATTAATAGGGAAGAAGTATTATTTATGTATAACCTGCAGGTTTTCCAGTATTCAGAAAGCAACGCGTTTTATGAGTTACAAAGCAGTCTGAGGAGCAAATATCAGGAAAAAATTATTTCTTGTAGACCATTAATACTGTTAGGAATCAGAAGGTGACGCAAGACAGAAAGATGACAATACCATCACACTGCAACTCTGGACGACATTTCAAACAGCCAAGCTTTACAGCCAACCAGCTGTAATTGCTTATGAAACACAACAAAGATATTAACAACAATTTTGCTAATGATTTACCATGGTGACATTTCAGTTTCCAGTGACAACCTGAAAACAAAATAACTTGATCTTAACAAGGAAATCCATTATGTTCACAGTCAGGCTGAAGCTGGGCGAGTCGCCACTCTATTTACCCTCTAATGCCAACGCCTCATTCCTGCCTCGTTGTAGCTGCACGTTTCAACCCTGCATATTTTCCGCTCTGCTTGCTGATAACTATAGTACACAAAGATAATCAAAGTAATGGAATGTAACTCCCAAGGTGAAAAAAAGAAAGCCATTAAAAGCCAACACTTAATATTTTACAAACTGTAAATGCACAGTGACATTTAAGCTGAACTTCTGCTATTTTCACAACTGCACAGACAAACCAGTGAACAAAAAAAAACCCCACCATTTTCCATACTATCGCTATTTTCTTACAATTTTGACAAAGAAGTACTTGAACGCATAAGACATCGGTAAATTGTACAGCACCATTTCACACTCAAATATAGAGGAAATGGTCAATTTAAGGATGTAATATCTACTGACATCAAAGCCATCTAACTCCACCCACAGCAAACAGAGGAAGGAAACGTTAGCCTTCAGATTACAAAGAAACAAAAGATGGGGAGGATAACTGAGGAGCGCATGGGGTGACGGAGGAAAGAGTCATTTAGCCACAAAAACCAGGGGAAAGACAAGGACTATTTAAAAGATTTCTTTTGAAGCTTGGAAAACTCAAAACAATTCAAGGAAAACTGCTTCACAGACTTTGCACAGGCTGTACTGAATGCTACACTTAAGAATCCCATTATTATCATCATTGCTCATTCCCTGTCATATATTTACCTTTAGAAACATGAGTACTGGCAAACATGGCAAAGTTTCATATATTGAATCCAGCTTTACTACTTTTGGTTCTGAATGATGTTAATCTGAACATGTCGTTAGAATCTGATCTCTCTGGTTATGAGAACCTACCTCCTGTTTAATTCTTCTGGCTTAAAATGAATAAGGATTATTTATAAGTGTTAATCATACAAAACTACTAAGAGTTTAAATTTAACACTTCTCTTTGGTGAAGAGGACAGACGAGCTGACCCACACAGCAGGGCTCTCCAACACCATTATAGGCAATCCATCCCTCCATCGCAATTCCAAAGACTTAGAAAAGTAATACCAAGAAGCAGGGTGTGGAACAATATCTTAAAACACTGCACAGCCGTGAAAAACACAAATTCACAGCTTAAAAAACCCAATTACACCCTTATGGCTTCCAAAGAAATTAACAACAATAACAATCTTGGCAAAATTGGACATTCTAGCAAATTCACCACAAAAATGAGAACGCTTAGAGAACCTGCTAAATGCAACAAACCCCAAGAACTGCATCTCAGACTCAACATTTAACATGCTGACATTTATAAACGTTCATGAGAGCACATTCAGAAAAAGACTTTTAAAGTATGGCTTGTTTGGAAGGGTTGTCAGCAGGAAGCCTATTCTCTGTAGAAAGAAAATGGCAGCATGACAAAGGTTTTTACATTTGCATCTGAATAAAAAAAAAACAACAACTTTGGATTTGTCTTTATTTCCAAAGGACATTGTTCCAAAGTAGAGATGTTTTACCATAATGCAGTGTTGTAGTTGAAAAACAAACAAACAACGTGAGCACAAGCAGTGGTTTTGTATCACAGACTCTGGGAATCTAGCAGTTGTTGAGTTGACCACGAACCCTTCTGTATACCAATTTATTCTAGTTAGATGTGAGGCCATCAGTGGATGAGCCCTGCGAAAGCTGATGAAGACCCAGAGGGAACATCACGAGTGTAGTATTAGATGATTCACAAAAACACGGCTAAACTCAAACTTCTCAAACCACAATGTTTCAGTGACTTGTTTTTCAAGCAAATAAAGATGACAAGTAGAAAAGTAGAGGAATTTCATAGTTTGTGAAAGTTATTGAACTGATTCCTGGTCCACGGTTATCAGTTT